GTCACCCCAAGCCTAGCCGTCCCATCAGGCTTTAGAGCCATTCTGACTGGATTTCCTTTTCCATCACCTGAGCTCTGTAGTGAACATTCATTCTCCAATACTCACTAACAAGACAGCCACAGTGCAGTATGGGCACAACTCTCCTGGGTCTTAGTCATCTTTCTGTTCAGAGAGAGAGAGAGAGAGAGAGAGAGAGAGAGAGAGAGAGAGAGAGGGAGAGAGGACTGGACTGAAGAATAATATGCCCAACTTCTTGAACATCCAAGATCAAAGACATCTGTTAACTTTTTCTTATCTTTTTCAAAAAAATTTTTTTTTTATTATTTTGAGACAAACCCTTACAGCCCAGGCTGACCTACAACTCATCATCCTTCTGCCTCTGCTGGAATTGTCAGTGTGCTACCACTCCCAGATGACATGTGATCGATAAGAAGTGGTCATTCGACTCACTTTGCTACACTCTGCAGGAATACTAGTCACTCCTCAGGATCTTCGCTTCCGGGAAACTATGGATTATCTGGTCCTATGCAAAGTCTCTGAGAGAATTGAATTATGTGGACTCCACTTCCTCAGTTTGAGCTCTTTCCCTAATTCTCCTAGAATCGAAGACCGTTATCTGCTTGCCCCACAGTGATTCTCGAACAGAGGGTGACAAGTGTGTTCTATAAAAGGCCAGAGAGCAAATATTTTGGTTTTCAAGAACAAATTGGACTACCTGACCCTGCTATTATAAAGTGAAAATACCAAAGACATAAATAACCATAGACATAAATAAGTTTGGCTCTGCCTAATGAATCTCCTATCTAGGAACACTACGGTTTGAATTTCACGTAATTTCTGTATTATGGAATACTATCATTTTGATTTTTCTTTCACTCATCATATCAACATACAAGTTGTATACACACAGGCAACAAGCTGGATACACACAGGCGACAAGCCACAGTTTGCTGACTCCCTTTCTAATCCACAAAGTCAGGTAGTTTAGGAGATCTCAAGAGCCCTGGCTGCAGCAATCTCTGCAGAAGTCCCAGAATGTTCTTGAGTAGTTGCGACTGTAGGTACATGCTACCTCACCCAGCTGAATCCTCACTTTGACACTCAGGTGCAGCCTGAACCGAGCACTCATCCCATGCAAGGGCAAATGCAGCTTTCTCTCCTCAACTAACTCTGTGGGGGGCCACAATTCTGTCACCAATGTGACCCTTTCCAGAGCTCAGGATACATGTTTCTGTGTGATAGAATAGAGAATTAAAAAGCTGAGAACATTTACCCTTGAGGTCTTATTAAAACAAAACAAACAAACAAAAAACCCAGAGCCAGAAATTGGGGTGAAAGCTGTAAGATCAGAGAAACAGAACAAGTCAGTCACGTTCTTACCTGTACAAAATCCTCAGCCTCAAGAAAGCAAGTTCCTGTTTCCTCACTCCTTATATACCTTTCTCTGGCCTGCCATTTTACTTCCTGGGATTAAAGGCTTGTGTCCTTCCCAAACAAAGGCAGATCTCAAATCCTGGGATTAAAGGTGTGTGCCACCACTGTCTGGCCTCTATGTCTAATCTAGTGGCTGGCTCTGTCCTGTGATTCCCAGATAACTTTATTAGGGTATACAATATATCACCATAGATTTTGGTTGTGGGAGATGCTGGGCCAACTAAGCCAGTTTTAGGTCAGAACTGAATGATGGTCAGGATGCTCCAGGAGGAGAGATCTTGGGGATCCTCAAGATGGCACTGCTGTGGGATGTTCTGTATGGCAAATGTGTTGCTAATTGGTCAATAAATAAAACACTGATTGGCCATTGGCTAGGCAGGAAGTATAGGCGGGACAAGGAGGAGAATAAAGCTGGGAAGTGGAAGGCTGAGTCAGAGAGACACTGCCAGCCGCCACGATGACAAAGAGCATGTGAAGATGCCGGTGAGCCATGAGCCATGTGGCAAGGTATAGATTAATGGAAATGGATTAATTTAAGCTGTAAGAACAGTTAGCAAGAAGCCTGCCACGGCCATACAGTTTGGTAACCAATATAAGTCTCTGTGTTTACTTGGTCGGGTCTGAGTGGCTGTGGGACTGGCAGGTGACAGAAATTTGTCCTGACTGTGGACCAGGCAGGAAAACTCTAGCTACATGGCACCAAAAAGGAAGCCCCAAACACAAGATCCATTTGTCTGGCTATTAAGCTCAAGGACTAAGGAAGGCTGTGTGTTAACACTTTGGGTTTGAAGGACGGGCAACACCCTGCCAATGTATTTCAAGGTGGGCTGAGGCCAGGGGCCCTCCCCCAGCAGGTCCCCTTTTAGCCCACAGGTGGCAGTCATAAGCTGTGTCAGAAAGGACCTGGCTCCTGGTGAGTGGTTGGTTGTTAGCTGGCAGTGGGTGGGGTGTGTGTGTCTCCCTCTGAATCCTTATCAGTGCATGTTGCAAAATATGGATTATTACAAATCATGGTCATGTTCACGAGGTACATTTTGTTTAAACAGGTACTGTGTGGTTGTGTGAGATTCCCACCACGGGAGCAAAGAACCCAGTGGGATCAACTGAAAAGGCGGGCTTATTTGGGTTTCCCATCTTACGTTTTCATGCAAGGCTGGCTGGCTCTTCTGCTCTGGGTTTATGTCGCCGCAGCATATATGGCTGGGACACATGGTAGAGCTTTGCTGGTCCTTCATGGTGGCCAGGAAAGAGATCTCAGAAGGGGTAGAGTTCCCAACATCCTCAATGACCTAAATTATTTTCACTCTACCTTCCTCCTAACACTTCCACCACCTCCCAAGAGTGCCACAGCTGACAATCAAGCATTTGTTTACAAATTATTTATTAGTGTCTGTACATACAGGCACACATGATGAGCCTCAGTATAGATGTGGAGACCAGAGAACAGTTCACAGGGACTAGTTCTCTTCTTCCACGGTGGGTTCTTAGGACCCAACTCAGGTCCCCAGGCTTGTGTGGGAAGTACCTCTTGTACAAAGCCCTCTTGCTGGTCACCCAGTATTTAATATGAGGCTTTGGAGAATGTATGGGATTGAAAACAAAACAGTGATCTTTCAGGTAAAGGGCGTCTACTTGTGTAAGAGGAAAAATCCTGTCAAGAGTCAGAGTGACAGCACCGGAAACTACTCAAGGCCACCTGGCTGAGAGCAGATGCTTCCTGAGCCCTCGGGCCTTGGGAGTCAGCTTCTTCCAGCTCAGAAGTCCAGATATGGGAAAGTTTCCTTTCTATGCTGTTCATATATTCTATTGCTATTTTCCTTGTTTTATGTCTGTCTATCTGTAACAAAGGCTTTTATCCCCCTATCTATCTATCTATCTATCTATCTATCTATCTATCTATCTATCTATCTATCTAATCTATCAAAAGCTTTTATCTATCCATCTACCTACCTACCTACCTACCTACCTATCTATCAATAACAAAAGCTTTCTGTTAATAATAGCCAAGTTAAGGACAAGGTAAGTATCCTTCCTTGAATTGGAATTTGAAAACCCTAGGCTGACTGACTGTAAGTGCTAAGCTTGGTAGCATTAGCAGGAACCAAATTGAAAGGATTCCAAACAAGAGAACCAAACCTAGTCATTTATGAAAACTTAGGAAAAAATAAAAATTCCTACTACTACTATAAAAAAAAAAAGAAAAAGGAAAAAAAAGCCCAACCCAAAATGAGAGAATACGAATGAATATGAATCTGTTTTCAAATTCGTTAATGAAGATACTTTATCAGTGTCCTATGGAAGCCCCTGGCCCCAACCTAGAGCACCATGGGCTCTGCAATGTGATCTCATCTCTGTGAGAAACAGTATCTGCCCCTCTCCAGAGTCTACAGAGCAAGGCCTATGAGCCACGCTCCACACCCGAGGCCAGCAGATGCTCTCCTTGCTCAGACAGACTTAGTCACACTCCACACCCAAGGCCAGCAGATGCTCTCCTTGCTCAGACTTAGCCTGGATGGAAAGTCGAGCTGAGGACGATAAGCCTGGGAAGAGAGGCCTTCATCTGCCCTAACAGCCTCTATCAGATCAGCTGAGCTGACTGACCCAGGATCTGCTTCTCAGATGGGGGGTACTTCTGAACCCCCAGGCAAAGACTTCCCTCTGGAGACTTCTGGGTAGACATTCACACTGTGTGAAAGCCATGGTCCCTCAGGATAAGATGAGGATAACAAAAAGTCAGGACAGAGATGCTCTGTCCTCTCCACAAGGTGCTCAGGCACTCTCTGGCACTGAGCGTGGTGGTAGCTGCAGGACTTCACAGGAGAGACCATCATGGGATACGACCACCCTAGGAAGTTTCCCAACAAGACAGAAGGAACTTTCGTTCTTTTTCTTTATTCTTTTTCAGAGCAGAGGACCGAACCCGGGGCCTTGCTCTTGCTAGACAAGCACTCTACCACTGAGTTAAATCCCCAACCCCCAGAAGGAACTTTCATCACACCCGAAGTGAAATACAGACGCAAATCTTTGAAAGGTAGTATCATTTTATTTAGTGTTAGGAAATTTTAGGGTTTTGTTTGTTTTTAAGACAAGGTCTCCTATATCCCAGTCTGACTTATAACTCCCCATGCTGCTAGGATGAAGTTGAACTTTTGGTCACCTTGCCTCCACCTCCCAAGCGCTGGCTGGGATTACAAGTGTACATCACAGTGCTCGGCTTCTGTAGTACTGGCAATGGGGTGGGGGTGGGGTGTCAAACCTAGCGCTTTGTGCATGTAAGGCAGGCACTGTACTAACTGAACTACATGCCTGATCCCTTAGGTATTTCTTTTTTTTTGGTTTTTCGAGACAGGGTTTCTCTGTGTAGCTTTGCGCCTTTCCTGAACTCACTTGGTAGCCCAGGCTGGCCTCGAACTCACAGAGATCCACCTGGCTCTGCCTCCCGAGTGCTGGGATTAAAGGCGTGCGCCACCACCGCCCGGCTCCCTTAGGTATTTCTTAAAAGCAATACCAAGTAAGTAAAATTCCCAAATTAACACTCAAGGAGCAGTAATTCTGTAATTTGAAAAAAAAAAAAAAAAAAAACCATTGAGCCTTCAGCTGGAGAGAGAGGAAAGCCAATTTAGTAGCTCACAGAGTAGGTAGGAGAATCCAGAGTTGGGGTTGGTGTGGGTTCATGTTTCCCATCTAAGGCAACTGACGGATTTTTAGTCTTGAAGGATCCTCAATCAATAACCCGCCACCCCCACCATTAAAAAAAAAAAAAAAACTGGGGGTGGTAGCATACTGCTATTCCCGGCACTTGGAAAGTGGAGACAGGAGGATTAGGAGTTAAAGGTCATCAGTAGCCCTTAAAGCCATTTCAAGGTTAATCGGGGCTACATGAGAACCTGCCTAAAAAAACAAAGATAAAACATCACCAAGTGGGGTGGGGGGGTCCAGCCCTACATTCTCCAGTACTTGATAACTCAGTGGCAGAGCACCGGACTGATGTGCACAAGACTCTGGGTTTAATCCCCAGCACCAGGAAAGTAGGGAAAGAAAAAAAGGTGGGCTGGAAGAACCCGGGTGGGGTGTTTGTGTTTGTGTGTGTGTGTGTGTGTGTGTGTGTGTGTGTGTGTGTGTGTGTGTGTGTGTGTGTGTGAAGAACTCTGGCCTCACTAGAGCAATCGGCAAAGCATCATGGAATAGCCTCTCTTGACGCCCCATGAACTGAGAAGCTGGAAGCACACAGCTCATCTCTCATGCATGTGCCCAGCTGTGGAGCATGGCACACGGCAGGGTTGCTCGCTCCTTCCTTCTGCTGTGGAAGTAAGGGTAACATACCGGAATAAAATAGCCAGGCCAGTCCACGCGACAAAGCCAACAAGGAGATGATATGAAACAACTGGGTCAAGGGCTGACTGTTCTTAGGAAGCTGACCTCCAATCAGAGTTGGCTGGCATTTAATCCAATGCCCCCTCAGACCCTGGCTGGCCTTTCTGGAGGCAGCCAGGCAAGGGTAAGGAAAAAGCCCCTCTTTTTCCAGAGCGCAGGCTCCTCCAGGGCCTCTCACGCTGGCCTTGGTGGCAGCTACAGGCACAAACCAGTGGCCAGCCTCAGGAGCTCCAGGGCTCTCCACATCACCAACCTCTGCCACCAGGCTCAGCTTCCCTTGGTATCTTCCCTCAGCCCCCAACTGCATATTCAAGAACAGTTATTAAGTGGGTGTGACCTCTATATAATTTGTGAGCTACAGCCAAGTTAGAAATGCAATGTTTTCCAGTGAAGACCTTGAAGTCAATTGCCCTACATTCTCCAGAGTTCCCAAGTGGCATTTCAGAGCACAGGAATTCACTCCACCTAGACGGTCCTCTCTAGAGCTGACTCAATAGCATACCAAAAGTCCTAGTAGCAGCAGAGACCTCCAGACCCATCATTAACAAGGCAGTTAGTTCTCAAGGCTGACTCCTCCCAGAACCAGTCCCCTCCTCCCCCGTGTACTTAGGTTATCACAGTAAAAATGCCTTTTTATCAAGTAAAAAAAAAACCATGATGCAGAACAGACATATACATGTACATTTTCAGAGTTCAAGTGAATATAGTTTTCTTTATAGGCATGTTAATGAATTTCACAGTACTAAAAAAAAATTACACATCATCCCAGAAATCTGCAGTGCTCCCTAGTTATGTAGGAGAGGTTAAATAAAATTGGTTGTGAATCATTAACAGCTAATTAGATAAATCAAGTTACAGTCTTGCCCTTCAGATTAAAGTGCTCCAGTGTAAGCAATGCTCCTCATCTTCAGGATGATAAGGACACACAGAGAGAGATTCTTCATTGGAACTACCACCACCTCCACCCTGTCCATTCCACTGGCCCGTGACTTCCCCTAACAGAGATGTTAAGATTTCACAAGATTTTTATTACAACCAAGAAGAGAAAAATGAACAACATGAAACATTTTAATTCCAGTATGAGGTGACCAGCAATGAAATTCCCTCTATTGGTGAAAATGGGACTGAGTTTAAGGGGGAAAAAAAAATATATATATATATAGCTGTATTTTAAAACAAGATTGATACATATAAATCTAGTTTATATATAAATATATATAACTATAACTATGTATCTACCTCTCTATATATCTATACATATAGTTTTATATGTATAAATCTAGTTTAAAAATACAGCAATCTACCAGGCATGGTGACACATACTGGTGATCCCAGTATTTGGAAAGACAGAAGGGACGAAAGTTTGAAGCTAGTGAGATCCTGTCTCAAAACAGCAGCAACAACGAAACTCCCCCAGATCAGGAAGTAGCAATCAAAAAGCGCGTGTGGGGGTGTCGAGCGCTGGACTACTGAGCGCTTACCCAGCCCTGGCCCACGGCGCCTTCATCTTGAGGAATTAGCGGACTCTGGCTCCTCCCTTCTAGGAAGGCTGCCACCAAGACCCGCAAATGGAAGCATGGCCATGGCCAAGGCCCCTTCCTAACGTCATTCTCTACCTCACAGGCTGTTGGAGTAAGTGTCCGGATCGCTTAGTCCTCTCTCCAGGCACCGGAGAGGCCAACTGAGGAGCAGGAACCCTGATAGCTGGAGAGGAGGGACTCTGACCATTCCCCTACTCGAGTGACAAGGGACTTTTGTTTTCTTTGAATGTGCACCGGTGCTGTGCCTGCATGTGTGTCTGCGTGAGGGTGTCGGATCCTCTGGAACTGGAGTTACAGGCAGTTGTGAGCAACCGTGTGGGTGCTGGGAATTGAACCCGGGTCCCTCTAGAAGAGTAGCCAGTTCCCTTAACCGCTGAGCCAGCCTGAAAAGTGATTCTTTAATTCCTTCATATCTCCGGGACATGGCCCTATGTATCTACAACGCACAGAGTGTGTGTGTGTGTGTGTGTGTGTGTGTGTGTGTGTGTGAGAGAGAGAGAGAGAGAGAGAGAGAGAGAGAGAGAGAGAGAGAGATCGCACAAGCGCGCTCGCATTTGTACACGTGTGGGGTGTGCTCACCTATGTGGGAGCATATGAAGGGCAGAGGTTTATTTAAGGTAGCTTTTCATCTTATTAAGACAGGGTCCCTCATTGAATCCGGAGTTCCCTGTTTCGGCTAGAACAGCTGGCCAGTGAGCCCCTAGGATCTGCCCGTCTCTGCCCACTCGCCTCTCTGAGCCCATCCCCCACCCAGGCACCTGCCACTCCTGCTGGCTTTTTTGCATGGGTGCCAGGAATGCAAACAGATCCTCAGGCTTGCAGTGCAAGCCCTTTACCCACTGAGCCGTATCTCCCCACCCACGAGGAGCGTGTTTTTAAGGCTAGAAGGGAGAAGGAACTGGAAGAGGCAGTTTGTTCAAAGTCTAAGAAGCATGCTCGGAGGCTTTCTGTAAACAGCTGTGCTCCAGTCAAGAGGCCTCAACACGGTGGCGGTAATCCCATCACTTGGGAAGTGGAGGCAGGAAGATCAGAAAAAGGCTAATCTCAGTTATACAGTGAGTTCAAGACCAGCCCGGGCTATACAACAGCCTTATATAAATCAGAACAATGCCCCCCAAACAAGAACCCTATCAACAAAAACAAAAACAAAAAAAAAAGCCAGGCGGTGGTGGCACACGCCTTTAATCCCAGCACTCGGGAGGCAGAGGCAGGCGGATCTCTGTGAGTTCAAGGCCAGCCTGGGCTACCAAGTGAGCTCCAGGAAATGGCGCAAAGCTACACAGAGAAACCCTGTCTTGAAAAACCAAAAAAAAAAAAGAACCCTACCAAAACAACCCTTGAGTCTGAGAAGTTTATAGGACATAAAAATTTAGCATCTACCACACCTGAGCCGCTCAGAGGCCAGGAAAGGAGGTGAAACAGTGCCCATAGTCCATACAGTCCCTTTCTGATGGCACCCTAAGCCTGGCTTCACGGAGGATACATACTTGAAAATCTCAGTATCAAAGGGTGACAACCCCAGTATTAAAATACATTAGTTCCGATGGTGGCCCCTGAATCGGTGGCTCAGGATCAAACCTTATATTTACAACTTAGTTAAAGGCACAGTGGCATTTAAAAATAAAATGCTGGGAATGTATAGAAAAGATTCATTGTAATCATTAACCTGGTTTCTAGGAGAATTAACTCTCAGACAGACAACGCACACCGGCGACAGGAGACTGACTGTGTGCTGGTTACTAGGCAGACCATGCCCTTGACCTCGAGAGGTAGTGGAAACAAGCTCACAAAACATCTCCGTTTCCTTCCTGCGATTCACATCTTTCCAGCCTTTTTGCCAAGCGGAGTCGACACTCGGAGGATGTTGGGGGTCTCCTCCATGACTCGGACCAGCAGGTTGTCGATGTAGTCTTCCAGCTCGCGCACCTGAAACTCCTTCTTGCTGATGGTTTCCTTCTGTTTGAGGACCAACTGGATCAGCTCGTCGTGGGTCAGCTGTGCGTAGGCGAAGGCGGGGTCCGAGGGCTGGTATTTCTTTGGAGAGGGAAAGAAGAGGGAAACGGTTACCAGGCAGCAGAGAAACCAGACATCTGAAAGGGATGCAAAGGGAATGTCAGCAGCCACGGGAGCCTCTCGGAAACGCATCTTCTTGTTATTCTTCAGCGTCTCACTGCATAGCCCTGGCTGACCTGGAACTCACTCTGTAGCCCAGGCTGGCCACGAACTCACGGAAATCAGCCTGGCTCTGCCTCCCAGGTGTTGGGGTTAAAGGCGTGCGCCATCACACCTGGCTTGGAAATCCACTTTCAACACAGGTTGAAACCAGGTGGCTGACTTGAGAGAAGTACCATGGACTTTGTAGAGTGTGCATGGGTTGGTTGCGTGCGTTTTTACTTCCTTCCTTCCTTATTGTCTTTCTGCTTTATGATCCTTTGGCAAATGTAAGAACCAGGGGTCTGGGAGCACCTCAACAGTAGAACACTTCCCTACCAGGTGTAAAGGCCCTAGGTTCCATCCCTAGCACAATAGTTCAAAAGCAGAAACCTTCCTTGGCTTAAAATTCTCAGACCCCTGGTCCTGCCTCTGGGTACATGTTTTCAAGAAATGTAATGAGGGGGCTGGAGAGATGGCTCAGTAGTTAAGAGCACTGGCTGCTCTTTCGGGGACCCGGGTTCAATTCCCAGCACCCATATGGTAGCTCCTAATCACCTGTAACTCCAGTCCCAGGAATCCAGCACTCTCTTTTTAGCCTCCTCCACCCCCCACCCCCACCCTGTAAAACAACCATATACATAGAAAAAAAAAAAAAAAGAAACATAATGAGGCCTTGGTGGGGAGGAGGGGAAAAGAAGTAGAAAGCATCATCAGGTAGTAGTCGTCACATAATCAGCCAGGCTCAGGTTGGAGGCCGAAGTTGATGGACCACTTGATCTCTTAAGTTTGAAACCAGCCTTTAAAACTCTTGCTATCAATACAGAGCTGGGATAAGCCCCAAGGCAGAGCAGAAAGACGGTGTGGGGGAGCACCCTCCTGCCAACACGGCAGGGTACCCGCCAACTCAGTTCGTCTGCCAGTACTACACCCGCTCCGAGACCCCAGAGACACTTACCCCGCAATCTCAAAACATGTATAGTGTAGCTAAAGCCAAGTGCCACCAGACCAGACTGTCTGGGTACACGGTGGCCTGTCCCAAAGACTAACTGTTCCTGTTTCTGATGGGAGCAAGTATCCGGAACAGTTGCTTTTCGGGAGCATTTATCATCTGGGACAAGGAGACTGACTGCAAGCCCAAGGCCATGAACGATAAAGCCTCGGTAAGAAGTATCAAGTCACATCAAGGTCTTCGGAGGGAGGAAGAGGCAAGGCCTGGCAATCTGCAGCTTAACAGATTTACAAATTCAAGGACGCAAGACTCCAGCGCAACTCAAGGTGACTCCTGCCCAAAGAACTCCAAGGCAGGAACAGGTTTTTGCCCTGAGGACCCTGCCACTTTCAACCTCTACCAGGAAGATCAATACCTTAAGAGCCTACCATCTCCAAGCTAGCCATTGGCAGAACTAACAGTAATAGTTCAACAGCAGCGCAGAAGCCCCTGGCCCCTCCAGGGAACAACTGCCTGAGGAGACAGAATTCAGAGGAATCCCACTCGCTCACTTGCTGGCTTAGACACACACGATGCCGTTTTCACATACCCAGCAAGCTTGAGTCCAAGTCAGGTGGCCCAAGAACAGCTGGGCAATTTCTCCAACATCTGCTTCTCCCCTCCCCCCTGCTTGCTTTCAGCTTGTTGAGGATGTCCAGTCAGAGGGGGTGACATTTGTTGTTCACCGTTTTTGTTCTTGCTGCTAAGGATTAAATTCTGGGTTTTGTGCACGACACTTAAATGCTCTGCCCCTGCAGTCACTCTGTGTGTGACTTCCAAAACTAGATCAAACCAGGCATGATGGATGGCACACGTGTAATCTTAGCACTCAGAAGAGGCTAGCCTACATCATGAAGCAAGCTCTAGGCCAGCCTTGGCTACAGTGAGGCAGTATCTCAACACAACAACAACAAAATGTTGTTGGACACACAACAATGTGGATGTATTTAACACTACTAAATTATGTTAAAAACGGTAATGATGAGGCTGGGCTGTGGAGGCACACAACACCTTTAATCCTTGCATTCAGGAGGCAGAGGTCGACAGGTCTCTTCGAGTTTGAGGCCAGCCTGGTCTACATCAAGAGTCCCTGGCCAATCAGGGCTACAGAGTGAGACCCTGTCTCAAAAGAAAAAGGTATGGCGGGAAGCTTTCATGTCACACACGTTTGGCCATAATAAAAAAGGTGTCCATTGATGTTTCACACCAAGAAACATGCCCTGGAGGTTTTTAGATCACACCTCTACAATATAAGGGTTTTATTAAGAAATACTAATGAGTGGTTGAGTGTGTAGCTTGGTGACGGAGTGTGTGTTTAGCAAGCGTGAGGCCCAGCGTGATTAAATCTGTAACTCGGTCCCTCTCCATCCCTTCCTTCTCTACAAGCCTCGGTCCCATGCAGCCCATGCAGCCCATGCTGGCCCCGAGTTCCTGACCCTCCTGCCTCCACCACTCAATTCTGGGGATTACAAGTGTGTGCCACACACCAGCTTTCTTTTTTCTCTCCTCTTTGCTGGTCTCCCCTTCTTGCTTTTTGAGACAAGGTCTCGTGTAGCCCAGGCTGACCTCAAACATGGGTAGACTTGAACTGCTGATCTTCCTGTCTTTCCCCAGGGCTGCCATTACAAGCATGTGCTACTACACCCAGTTTATGTGGCACTGAAGATCAACCCCAGGGCTTCATGCATGATAGGCGAGCACTCTACCAACTGAAAGAAATCCCTACTCCTTTCCTTTTATATATTTATTTATTTTTAAGGGTATATTTTATAATGTTGGCATCAATATAGAATTAAAAAAATATTACATCATTTATTTTCAGACTAAGAGAGAGAGAAAGCGCTTTTGAAAGTGAACCATGGGACATGTATGTAGGTCAGAGGACAAATTGAGCGAGTCAGTTCTGTCCTACTTTGCGGGTCCCAGGGACTGAACTCAGGTCATTAGTCTTGGTAGAGAGTTCATTTATAGCTAAGCCATCTCCCCTGAGAACAGCCTTTTACGTTATTTTGTACACATAATTAAATTTTAGTTGAAATTGATTTAATAGAAAAATTTAATTCAAGTATATTTTAACCATCACTGTACTACTAGATATTTATGTTGTTTTCAACTTTCACAATTATATGTAACATTTCTTTAAAAAGATTTGATTTAATTTTAATTGTGTGTCTGTGTATTGTCTGTATACACAAGTGTGAATGTCCATGGAGGCCAGAAGAGGTATGACTGTGTACTGTCTGTATACACAAGTGTGAGTGCCCATGGAGGCCAGAAGAGGTTGTCAGATCACCTGGGAGCTGCACACTGCAGGTTGTAGTGACACAGTCCTGTAATCTCAACACTTTGGAAGGCTGAGGAAAAAGGATCAGGAGTTCAATGCCAACCTGAGCTATATGAAATCTTGTCTCAAAAAAAAAACAAGAACACTGAGAGATGTTCGGTGGTCAAGAGCACTTGTTGCTCCTGTAGAGAACCCAGGTTCAGTCCCAGCACCCACATGGTGGCTCACAATCATCCCTAATTCCAGGGGATCGAATGCATTCTCCTGGGTCTGTGGGCACCAGGCATGCATGTAGCGCACAGCCATATATGCAGGTAAAACACATGCACATTAAAAAAAAAAAATCTCAGTCTGAATTCTGTAATCAAAGAGTAAAGGATATATCTACAACTTTGAAATCATTAGAAGCTATAAAATAATCCAGCATTATAAATAAAAAGGCATCAGTGGCCAGGAAGCGGAAAGGTACCAAAAAATATTCACTACTGAAAATGGCGACCACTGTCAGGTGTGAGTTCTCAGGAGGACTTTGCTGGAGTTTTCCCTTCAGGTTCCTGTCCATGACATAAGTTCAAATGTGTGTCCTGCTCCTCCAAATACCACAGCATGAGACTTGTGGACCTAGCTGGACTTCCTATTTTAAAGTAAAAGCATTAAAACCATCTGGGTAAACAACACGCTCCTAGTTACAAGTTATCTGCAAAGACTGGAGGCGCTTCAGCCCTCAATGACAGCAGCCTCTCCAGGGCACAGGGAATGTTCCGGAGGAGTGGGGGTGGAGATGGGGGGGGGCCCTTCAGCCCTCAATGACAGCAGCCTCTCCAGGGCACAGGGAATGTTCCGGAGGAGTGGGGGTGGAGATGGGGGGGGGGGCCCTTCAGCCCTCAATGACAGCAGCCTCTCCAGGGCACAGAGAACGTTCCGGAGGAGTGGGGGTGGAGATAGGGGGGGGGGCCCTTCAGCCCTCAATGACAGCAGCCTCTCCAGGGCACAGGGAACGTTCCGGAGGAGTGGGGGTGGAGATAGGGGGGGGGGGCCCTTCAGCCCTCAATGACAGCAGCCTCTCCAGGGCACAGGGAATGTTCCGGAGGAGTGGGGGTGGAGATGGGGGGGGCCCTTCAGCCCTCAATGACAGCAGCCTCTCCAGGGCACAGGGAATGTTCCGGAGGAGTGGGGGTGGAGATGGGGGGGGCCTTCAGCCCTCAATGACAGCAGCCTCTCCAGGGCACAGGGAATGTTCCGGAGGAGTGGGGGTGGAGATGGGGGGGGCCCTTCAGCCCTCAATGACAGCAGCCTCTCCAGGGCACAGGGAACGTTCCGGAGGAGTGGGGGTGGGGATGGGGGGGGGCCCTTCAGCCCTCAATGACAGCAGCCTCTCCAGGGCACAGGGAACGTTCCGGAGGAGTGGGGGTGGAGATGGGGGGGGCCTTCAGCCCTCAATGACAGCAGCCTCTCCAGGGCACAGGGAACGTTCCGGAGGAGTGGGGGTAGAGATGGGGGGGGCTTCAGCCCTCAATGACAGCAGCCTCTCCAGGGCACAGAGAACGTTCCGGAGGAGAGGGGGTGGGTTTGGGGGTGGGGATGGGAAGGAGCCTGGCGAGATGCTGT